AGGTATCAGAACGTGTGCATCTAACTACAGACCTGTCACTCTTCGCCCAGTAATATCAAAATTAATTGAACGAATTATAGCAGAAGCCCTGAAATCGCACCTTGAAATTCACTCCTTGTTGAGCGATAAACAACACGGATTTCGACAGAATCGTTCTTGTTTATCCAATCTTCTGGTGACACTCGATGACTGGACACGAGCAGTGGATGCGGGAGTTACTGTACATGCCTGTTACTTGGATATATCCAAAGCCTTTGATCGAGTCGATCACAGTATCCTTCTTCGGAAACTTGAAATGTATGGCGTGATGGTAAATCTGTTGAGCTGGCTGAAAGACTATTTGAGTGACTGTTCGGTCCAAGTTCGTGTCGATGGAGCGTTTTCCGATAAAATTGCCGCCACAAGTGGTGTCCCTCAGGGTTCGGTTCTTGGTCCAATTTTGTTCCTGGTATACATGAATGACCTGCCGAAACTTCTGCAGTGCAAAACCGTACTTTTTGCTGATGACATAAAAATCTGGTCTGAAATTCATGGAAAGGCTGGTTGTGATGCGCTACAGCAAGATCTGCAAAGAATCGACGAATGGTCCATCCAAAACCGGCTGCCGCTGAATTTCCAGAAATGCAAACTCATAAATCTGGGGAAGAGCTACCACCTCCCATACAAACTGGGTTCCAATGAACTGGAATGGGTGGCTGAGGAAAAAGACCTCGGCGTCTGGATTTCTAGCAACCTGAAGCCGAGTAAGCACTGTCTATCAGTATATCGCAAGACCTCGGCACTGCTCGGGATGCTTAGGGGAATATTTTATCGTTTTACGGCTGAAATTCTCCCTATTATCATGAACACATATCTCCGGCCGACAATGGAATGCGCGATCCACGCCTGGTCTCCATGGCTGCAAAAGGATACACAACTGCTAGAGCGTATCTACCACCGCGGGACCAAGCTGGTCATTGGCCTCTGAAACGTTCCCTACAGTGAAAGGCTACGTAAACTCGATTTGTTTGATTTAACTTATCGGCGTATACGAGGAGACCTCATCCTGATGTTCAAGATAATAAACACCCCTAATCACCCTTTAAAACATTTGTTCACAGTTAATTTGGCCCGACAGACCCGACGGAATCCATTGGCCGTTGACATTCCATGTTCCCGCATTAACTGTCGGCGCTACTTTTTTTCAGTCCGCGTATCCCTCACGTGGAACAAACTACCAACATCTGTTGTGGATTGTGGTAACCTCGAGACTTTCAAACATTCGCTTGACGAATACATAAGATCTCACCCAACTTCCCTCATCAACATTTGAGATGCAGATTACAAACAATAGAACATATATGTCATATCATTCCGTTTATCTGTATACATACACACACACCAATATCCTTTGGTCATTGTAAAGCAAAATGCTTTTTAGACCAATATAACCTTGATTTACCCCGATTCTGCAGAGAGCGAAACTCCTCTAGCAAGGATCGCTCCACTTATTGGGGTCAGGAAGCACAGTGAAAGCCAGTTTGTTCAACGATACCCCGCACCGAAAAGACTCGGTCAGTTCGGCGAAACACCATTTGAACGAGCAAATTGTTTATTATCGAAAAACGAAGTGTGTTCTGGACATCAGTCTGTGTACTTTGAGTGCGCGACGTTCTGGAGCCCCGGAGGGCAAGAGAAAATACTCGAGTTGCACATGGAAACCGAGCTCAACCAGCACAAGAAGCGAGTTAATTCCTCATTGGTTAGCAGGGCGGCTGGATTAGTCCTTAATTACTCGTATTCACTGAAAATTCGCTACTTTCCTTGTGAAGCTTTGTCGTGCAAGCACTTCAATAACTGAACATAACTGCCAGTTGATTCGACATTGACGTTCGCACCACCATTGGGCAAATATTAGTTAGTTTTATCTCTCTTTTTCTGTCGCTCTTGTCGCAGAAAAACCCGAGATTGATTTTACCGTTTTGAATAGTACTCTCCACATAGTTTGTTGGCCGGGTTGTTTCATTCCACTGGCCCTCAAATTCTTTTATACGGTAAAAACTGGCTCATTATTGAACAGCTATGCTAAATTTCTAGTGGCATACGCACACAATCAGTAAACTGTCAAAAAAAGGAAATACGTCTTTGGCGAAAGTGAAGTTAGTCTTGTATTTTCTCCATACCCGGTCTTACAACATCTGTGCCCTCGTATCTAGTCTAATCGAATTATACTAACCAGGACGCGTCAGATGGTGCTCACCGAAAACGAAACCTCAATGTTTACAAAAACACCAATGACTGGATGAATGGTATGGAGTCAGAGAACCGATAGTAAGCATCAGAACTGCAAACGAATTCAGAATTTCACTGACGCAAGAAATGTCGATCAAAGTCAGTGATCAGAGTTGAATGTCAGATTTCGTGCCTGGACACTGAGTTAGTTATTCTTCAACCCGTTAGTTGACAAACCCGATGTATGTTGATAGTTCTGGAAATGGTGCTTGATCCGGTTAAAGACCAACATTTGTTCGCGCCATCGAGCAAACGGCGACCCGGTTACGGATTTTGAAAAGCGAACAGAAAACGGGTGGAAATCCCAATGAACACTCTCGGAACACCCGAATCTACCGCCGAGTTCTTAATCGATACAATCTAAGATTTCCGTTAGATCGACTAACAAGTGCCATCGAGACATTCTTCTAAAAATTCTGGATCCTTTTAAGATGAAAACGGTTTGGTATACGGACCTTGATGTAGTCTTTGGGTCACTGAGAATAATCCATGTGGGTAACGATCGAGTGAACTCTACAACCACCCGAATTTAGATCGAGAGTTGTTGTATCAGGCCTGAGCAGTTTCTCTAGTTTTCTTTGCATCAGGCACATAATCAAACAACAGACTTCCAAAGCTACCGATATCATACCTCACCTCGGAAATAATCGGTTGGCCTCTTAGAGGAACGGCAATCCAAGAGTCGACCGAACTGCATTCAATGAGTAGAAATGTGGCACACTTAATTGCGCTGATTTGACATCCAAACACAATTTGGCGCACGTGGGTTTAGGAGTAACATATCTTCAAGCGAACGCGGTACGCAGAAGAGCAAACAAAACTGGACTGAAATACGAACTCGTAAGTTCATGTTAACATGAGGATAAAAATGGCCACTTTACATGTCACGTGGCCAGTGTACCGTGAACTGGGTTAACTTTGTTTCGAAGACACTGGCCTGCTGAAAATTCTTGTTTTCATATTCTTGTATTCCCGTATGATTTATTACGTTACAAAGCGACCCATTCAAGCTGGCCTCCACCCATGAAACAAAGCATACTGCTACTATCCTATTGTAACTTTAATTAACAGAAGTACAGAATTGCTGCAATGGCTCCCCCCGAGGAGGGACCACTCATGTGTCATTCGAAGCGTTCCGTCATTTCGGCCACTTACACGTCTGAGATGTATTTCATAACCAATTGACAAGAGCAATCAAAAGGTTACGATCCCGCACAAACTGTCATTAGGCTATTCACGATTGTTTTTCTACCCAAGTAATGACATCAAAATCAAAAGTCAACTTGGGGACTGGTACAGTGCAATATCTCATGCGTTGGAGGTTCGAAAGCCCATGATCATGATTTATGATGGAAAGCATCAGCAGTTACATGATTTTGCCAATCAGCCCTGCAGTATGCAAAAAATGAGGCGACCCGGCTGACGTCACCTTGTCGCGTGAAGCTACTTTTGTCTGTGAAATTCATGCTTGTATGTGGGCTGAAGTACCATCAGGACACCAAAATCTAGTGACGAGCAAGACAAGGTCTATTAATCAAAGTTTCTGGCTCAAGATCCCGATGGTAAGCTGGTGGTAGTAAGCGTGAGACTATTCAACGGGCTCAAATTTAAGAAACCAATTACCACACTCGCTCAAATCCCAAACCTCGATGTCCAGAAGACTGTGATCGTCAAACCTCTATTCATTAACCAACCTTGCAGGAGAGACTCTGCGGATGCTGGACGCGCATCCTCCGGTAGATTCCCGAGGTACGCAAACCGTCAAACCACGATAAGGTTCATGGCCTTCGCTCAGTTTAACGACCTACGATCGCTTTTCCGCGAATAATGTAGGGAGCGTTTTGTTTATGCACACTAAGTCGGGGCCAATTAACCACACAGTGCTCTTAGCTGCAAAACCTTTTTCGAGGGGAGTAAAACTTTAACGTCAAAATGTTGCATGTTGTTGCGTACGTGCCCAAACCAAAAAAACGTCCTAATCTACCCTCATATTTTATGCAGCAAACCGAATTTCATTGTCCACTGAAGCAATCATGTTTCTGGCGGAAAAAGTCCGGTGGAATACTTTCCTAGCATCGCGGATACCCCAGGATGCCCAGATGGGGCTCAAAAGTTTGAACACGTACTCTGAACTCAATCGCCTGTTCCTTTTAGCCAATCAGGGACACATCGTGGCTTTCGAAAATTCAATTCCATTGTGCGAATACTGAGCGCCCACTGATTCAGTGATTAAAGTGGCGGAACTCAAAATGTGTTCCTAACTAGGCAGCCGATGGGCACACGTTCCCGCGACATATAGGTCAGTTCTGTTGCTCCTGCTTGACAACTGAACAATACGCCATTTTTGGTGTGCCCCGGAATTTTACTTAGACAAACGCCCAATTCAAGGACAACCAGACAACTATGCTTGTCACTGAAGAATTACGGAGGTGATTGCTCTGATAAATCTTATTTGTATTGGAAATTTACCTACACGAAGTTCGGAAGAACAAAGGGGAGTGTGGGCAGTTCTGATCAGGACATTAGCAAGTATTCTGACACTTGAACACAAGTAGCGCATACGACACCACAACCTGGAATTATTCGAGATATGCAGTGGATCACAAGGGTGTACCGAGACAACCTTGAAAAGTACAGTCAAATGCGCTAGTTCAAATCAAAAGACAAGTCACGTGCGATGAGGAATGTGTCGAAAATCCCACCCAATTCGTTGTGTAAATTTACTCGATACGACTAACTGAAGCAAGTCATTTAGAGACAAGAGTTTTTTTTCGAAGTTAATTTAAAATCGCTGTGTATTTTACCCAGTCCCCGGTCGTCGTAAAAAGATACAAACGTGAAAAAAATCACACAACCTACAGAGGATGATGGATTGACGGATCGATTGCACAATAATTGAAAAAAGTGCTAGGAAAAGCAGGTCTGGGGAAATTTCGCCGTAGTTTGGGATCATTCACCGAGATCTAGTTGACAACCATATAGCCGGCGGCCCGACCGGGTTTACTGACGAAGATCAACTTTACTGCCTCTTCCTTCATCCCCTTCTTCAGGTAGTACTCCGTTCGTACCCGACTCATGAAATCCGAGACTATTGCTTTGGGTACTAAGGAGACGGTGCAACCACCCCAACCAGCGCCAGTGAGTCGACTGCCAATCGCACCTGCAGATCTGGACAAGTTGGAAAACAAGATGAAACAGATATTCCTAGTAAGCAAATGTCAGTTTCAATGACTTTTTATCTGGCGGAAAACAAGTTTAGTACGTTTACAACAGAACGGTTATGCAGTGGCGTTGATGAGTTGTCCCCAGGTACGCTCTCAATCATATTTCCTCGAAAACGAGACGACTTTTTAGGAAGATCTGAGACGTCTGGTTAAAAAACATCATCAGGACTCGTGCACCTACCACTGATGGGACAAAATTATCTATCCTAAACAGTACGCAAGCTGATCTGGACACAAGGGGCTAATGCTGTGAGCAGTACCGACGAACTAAGCCTTCAGAAAGTCAGCATTATTGGCAGGAACATGCTTCAATTTTTTAACGTGCTCTAGGATTTCAACCTCTGAGTGGAATATGGAAGTATACATTCAGTCCAGGTACCTACGCTATTCGTAAGCGTAAAATGTGTCGATCGTGGACTTTGAACTCGCGGATGATATAGCTGTCCTCGATGCAGACCACCAGTCTACAGCAGGTCTTCAACAGGGTCAACCTTGGAGTCAACGCATCAAAAAATCAACGCCTTTTACCCGTGAGCGCTCTCGCGTACCGTTTAGTATCGATGGAGTGGCACTTGAGAGTGTCTGTGAGCTCACATACCTCAGTTCAACCATCCTTCCGAACGGCCAGTCTAAGGTCAAAGTCACGACCTGCTTGGACGGTGTTCAAAAAGCGTCCAAACAACTGAAGCACGGGAAAGTGAACTGAAGGCTAACGTTCGGATCTATCGGTCTTTCACTTGATCTGTTTTACTCTGTTTGTGGAACCTGGCCGATTAGTGACTTAGACACCTGTAAAATGGAATGTTTCGACAGTATTTGAGAAACATCCTCAGAGTAAGTCCCCAATACCGTGTGTCGAATGAAAGGGTACGCCGTCGATGCTTTGTATTCGTTCGCCTCAAACAGCCAACCCAACAATGTCCACTCCAATTGGTCAGACACATCCTTCGCCACCCAGCTACGGATACTGTCGGGGCTGCTCTTCGTCCTGCACTGCACCATTGGTGCTATTGTCAAGGTGGTCAGCTAAAAACCCGGGTCGACACTGTTGGGACGGGTCTACAGACTGTCCACAGCTCGGACCAATGGTACCAACGCTAGGTCAATATCTTGCAACTGACCACCACATTTGAGTAGTAGCGACTCGAAATATCCAAAAAGCCGCCTCATCCTCACACAGAATATCCTCCCGGACTCCCCAAACTGATCAGCTTCATCGTTTCAGTTTGCATGAAATACCCAATCTGGAGATCTTACGACCTACTACTAAAATGCATCATATCATCCCTTCTGCCCGTCTAGTATAGGTCCCAACAAGGATAACCACTATCGAGGTCTGCACACGAGCTGGGCTCGGCGCATTCGGTTGTGATTGGACCCCAACCAACATCGAATTGTTTTGATTTCTTACCAAGTTACCGTATTTAAATCAACTAATCATCAGTTATCTCCGCTTAACTGTAATTTAGTCCCTAGTACAAGCGACGAGCACATTCAAACAATGCTAAGTGATGACCATTCATTCTGAAATCTTGAAAACCGCACGTAGTCCCAAATCACACGTTCGACTCAAACTTGGTCCGGAGACCCCAATTTTAGTCTAAAAGTGAACGCAAGCATTGGAACTAGTTTTTCAACACTGTCCTCGCTTCGAAATTTGTTTACTCACCAGTTCTGTCCTCATCCACGTTTTTAATGTCGGTGGAAATATCACGCACTGTCTAGACCCCATCTTTGAATGTCTACCCAAATCGCTTCCTCATAAACCCCCCATATGTAAGTAATGAGCATATCAACATGGGGTAAAAAAAATTCTTTCTAATCCAGCATCGCACGGATAACGCCTCCCAGGCTGATGACAGTCTGTTGTAATTCCAGTGTCAAGGTCAGTAAAAAGAGGCAACTGGCTCACTTGAAACTTACTTAAAACCATAAAAGACAAGTATATCATTGCTATATCAATGAATTCAGGGACAGTAAACGAAGGCGACCCAAGAACAACGTGTGATCATGCCTGAAACATAACATCGCTAGTACACTTCTCCACATCATTAAAAACTCGCCAAAAAAGAGCTCATCGTCAAAGCCATTTCGGCCGTGTAGATTGTCCGATTGCAAGCACGTTTGAAGAGCTACAGCTGAACGAGTATCGACTTATGTAATAAGTCGGCGTCCCAGACCTTTGTCATTTGAGATGCTTTGTCTGTTCTGTTGAAAGTTTATTTGTCGAGAATGCTTCAACAGGCTCGAACATTTCGCACGATATGGTCAATCGTGCCCGGTATTATCTGAAAGATCTGATGTGCGAGCACAACAAGAGTATTCACACATTCTTCCCTTATTTTTTCCCAAACATTTTCCCCCGAACGTATTAATCACTATTGCCTGACTTCAAAAATTTCAAGCTTAAAATCAGTGACAAAAATGATGCAAATTAGGCTTAGTTGCATGAGTGATGTAGCCCAGTTAAAACTCATCTAGGATTTTCCCTAAAGCAAGTTGAAGCGATGAAACATATTCATGTTTTGTAAACGAGGTTTCTCAGAACTCTATAGTGTAAATATATATCAACCTATGATGAAGATTTGGGAACCAAAAAACCGCTGGCAACCCTGTTGGGTTTATCAATATCTGATGAGAGAATCGATCGAAATCTGGGTGCCAGGGATCCCACATAGCTTGCACGATAAAACCTACGCGACCCTTCCTTCGTTCGGTTAGTGATCACACAATGTCGGGCCAAAGTAAATGATGTTTATGAAGGAAACTACTCACAAGGTTGCTAAAAACTCTTCGACAGCCACGACCAGTTTCGCCCTTCTTGGGGCTCATCAAGTAGGCGCAGTCCTTTATGAAAATATAATGCGATATCTCGAATATCGTGCCAACTGAAACATGAGGCGGTCTGTGTGCAGCACATTCAGTTGTAGAACATCATAAACGAGAGATTCAGTCGAGTCTCTCATGAAAATCACATTGATTTGCCAATGAGTGTATTTCTCGTAAATGATGTTCATATTAGCAGTTTCAACCCCAATCGCCTGATCAAGTGTTGGAAGTGCTACCACGTCCCAGTTTTGTGGCAGACTGGTTCCGGGCCCTTTCTTTTCCCCATTTCCCTATTCTTTCTACGGAGGGACTTTCTCTCGATAAGATAGCTTGATTATACGCTAATGGAACACTGGTATTCAACACCGGCGGTCTTGCTATTGATGATGGGCACCGAATGGGATCAGAACCTCAAACCGTTGGGAAGAAAGTTGATATGCAAATTTCTGAGAGGTGAATTGATTACAGTTTCATTTATGCACTTCTCCGTGGCAAAATCCCAGACTATATCCTTTTCACAGTGCTTACCGGTCGTTGCAATTCACTGATGTCGCGCGATCACGCTTGAGCTTTGGGTAGGTCGAAACGAATTGTCGAATTTAGGCATTGTTACCTTTCTTTCATGCGATGACATCTACGTGAGAAAACCAAATTACTTTCCCAGTGTTTAACTAAAGGAAAGCGGTCGGAAACAAACATGTAATCAGATGCATTGCCTTAAACATGCCGCCATGTTGGATCTTCCAATTCCTCTCACGATGCACTATGTGAGATGTGAATTTCCCTAATCCAATCAATTAGTCCATTATCCACTTTGTTCCAGGCAATCTTATAGGTATGAAAGGTGATGTGGCGAGCATGCAACAATCCAACAGCTTCGCGAAAGGAAACGTGATATCCACAAGTGGACACCGCTCCCGTAGAAGTGATTTGATCACAAGGAGGTAGGAGTAAACGAACAGCCCAGAGAACTCTGGATAATCGGGAAACTGGTTTCTGGAAACATACAATGTTGTGATGTGAGGAAGTCCATGAAAGAATCCCACGGTCAGCGAGCTTGTTGTGATTCATGCTACCAGCTGTTCAGCCCAAAGGGTTATTCTGACCACCGTGGTGTGTCATTCGAAGATGAAATTAACACAACGATTGAGGAACCATAGGGAAAAACGGGTGGATGGGCTGCAGTGTGCTTTCCATGTGTAAGAGGAAATTGGCGGTTGTTCTTTAACCGTAATGCGCATCAATCTGTTGTTGATCCTCCCCACACATATGCCAATCCCGACCATTCCCATTAATGCCACATTGTGCCCGTAAAAACCAACTCTGGGTGTTCCCCATGGACTATACCACGTTCAAACAGGGACAAAGAATCATCCATCGAGCACGTTTCAATTACATTCATGAACCAAGGTGTATACTACTATCAAAATTAAGAACACGTTTATCGTCGGGGTGATTCGGGCGCTTAAGAGATTACCTTTAACTGGCGACCTGCGACTAACAAACGGGTCAGATTGGATTAGTTACCCTTAATTCATTACTTATAAAAGCGTTTTTGATAAGCTTTATAACCCCCCGAAAGATAAATTCGCATGCGGTTGGCCTGTCAAATGTTTCGGATGAACCGAATGCCCACACCCAACTGCAATTTCTCTCAGTGGGAAGGAAACATGCAAGACAGGCTGGCCTGCTAGTCAGCCAGGCTCTAGCATGTAAGAGAGAGAGAGAGAGAGAGAAACGAACAGATTACTTAGAAATCAAAGGATCACGTCTGTACTTAAGTGTTGTATAAGCTAAGTCCGGCTAGAATTCACTATCGTGGACTGGCTTTTACGACCCGTGACTACAGCATGCGGGTGTGCCCTTCGGATGCCGTTTGAGTTGCTGCAACATCTTGCAAATCTCGTGGAGGATCACAAATCAGCCTGATCGCTTAGCAGGATGGGCTTTGTCTGAAGTCGTCAGTCCCTGTGCAAGCCTACTTCGTGTAACTGGCATGAGTAGTGGTTAGGCTGGATTAGAATGGCTTCATGCAACCAAGGAGGTGAATTCTAAACGCAAACTGACATAAAACGTGAGCATCTGATAGTCATCATGCTAAAACTGGTCAAAGAAGTTGACCAGCCAAGGAAGTGCGAAGATGACACACCAAGCAAATAATGACATAATAATAGTAACCTTAGTCAGTCCGTTGTAGCACGCTTTCTGTGCCTGGCTAAAATGCGACCTGGGGAGAGCACAAGAGACAAGACATTGCCAAGTTGCCCAAGCCTAGACAGCAGCGACCAAGACGCTGAAGTTTGGTTCTAACCATGAACCTTCGGGTCCAACCACTTGGCTACACTAGGCAACGGACCATTTGATGAGGTTATGCGAATTATAATAACACCTCCTTGGTCTACCGCGCAAAAGTCTAACTTCTGTGAGATAAACAAGCAGCTAATCAAAGCAGGTCGTCACGTTGAATCGAGCTCAATTCTATGGATAATTACTTAGAAGTGGCATTTAGGTCGATTTGGATATGAGTACCATAGGCACATTTGTCCTAGTTGCTACAATTTCGATCACCGGAAAGTTGGATAGTGTGACACATACAACCAGGCCTTTGAGACGATGACATGTTTGGGTAGATCGGGAACAGGGCAGCAACGTATTGAAGGCGATATCTTCGATGCACAAGCGCCACTGACTGCACGATTGAGTCCTTTATGACAGTATCGTTAACCATTGGTGAGATGAGTCCCTGGGTCTCGATCTATGGAGACCGTAGTTGTCGACCGGTCTAGTTTATTGGTCAGTGTTCTCATACTTCGTTGCCAGTTCATACACCGTCCACCACTTGATTGCTTCTACTCAGCATACGGATAGGCGGAAAGAGGTAGACGGTCTTCTGTCCTAACCTGCGCACTCAATATACGGATAGGCGGAAAGAGCTGTGCGAGGTAGACGGTCTTCTGTCTTAACCTGCGTAACCTGTGAAACGTGAGTAATTGATCCATCACGGAAGAGTTCCTTCTTCCCAAGATCATCTAGCGTACCTCAACAGTACTGATTCGATGTTCCCACTAAACCTGATCAATGCTTTGAAGACACCGGTGGTCAAACACTGATAGATGTCGTATGTCTTCTGCGCGTAGAGACCACGTTTTCGAACCAAAATGAAGCATGAATCGCGCTATCGCAGTGTAAACTCTGTCCTTAACAGACAAACTGACTTCTCGTCGGTGCCATACGTGTCGGAGGTTGGTAAAAGTTTATCTGTCCTTCCCGATCTGATAAGTAATCTCGTCTCCAGCCAGTCCACCGGGGCGTCGCAGGTTGGTAAAAGCTGCCCTGTCCTTCCCGTCCTTCTCGTCTCCAGCCAGTCGTACGCACCCACAGAAGTTCGCACACAATGCCCTTTATAGGATATAAATACGGAAGGGACACCTTTGATCACCTTTGTCAAAGTTTCTGACGATCGACAGAATCAAAAGGTCGATTGGCTCGTCTGTAAGCGCAAGGTTTGGGTTTGATCGCACTCAACCCTGTAGCATGACTTCACAATTTGAAGGCATGAAGCGCATGCCGAACCATGCGACAGAGGCTGTTCAAGGGTTTGTCTCAAGGCAAAGATACTGTCCTCGGCCAGAGCGAAACCCAGCTTGATTCTCCCCCAGATAATCCATCAAACTGCGCAAAATAGTGCCAGAGAGCACCCTAGATGCGACAGATAACTGGCTGATACCACGGTGATCTTCGCATTCCGACGTTTCGCCCTTGTTGAAAACTAGGATGACGGTTCCAAATCTCCTGCCTTATCGTGCTTCAGGAGTGACAGCTCATGCTGTTGGTAAGTCGGTGTCGATGTTCCATTCAGACCCACTCGGTTCTTTCAGCGGTTGTGTTAAAGGAAACCAGCTAGACTGGTCTTTAAAGTGCTCGTTTCACCGCTCAAGACGACGCTTGAGGTAGCGAACTGCTGTTTCGACTTTTTCGCATATTGTTTGTTTCACTAACACCTGTCTTCGTTTGGCGCGTTGATTGAATCAGTTCGTGGCTGTTGCCTGCAGCGAAAGTCTGGGCCTTCGAAATCCACAAGCGTTCTCTGTCATTGTTCAAGCTCTTCATTATCCTATGTTTGAGGCAGTTGCGTACGCCATCACAGTCGCTAGTTGCTGCTATGGACTTTCTGGCAACAATACTACCTACTGATCTCGATGATATCCACCATTTATTTAATCGAGTTGAGTCGATAAACAGGTCTCAAAAGCTGAGATAATGGCTTCTTTCACCCGCTTCCCTTAAACCTCCAAGAAATCTTCGTCATCTGCATCACCGTGCACTTCCAGTGGCTTTCCAGCCAGATCAGCTCGATACTCTTGAGCTATCGAAACTTATCGAAGTTGATGAACGGAGCTGCTCTGCCTTGGCACGCATATTGCTGGTGGGAAGTGTACCGCTGATCGCATGATGGTGTGACCAGAGTCAAGTTGCGTACCCCAGAAGGAACGGTGGTGTTTAACTGATGCTCTTCGTCGGTAACTGACAGGCTAAACGCACCGACCTGCATTGATCTTAATTGAACTAGACGATCACACAGCGCAAAGACGACTGTTTGCTGAAATCCAGTTCAGTAAGGCGCGTTCAGCCTTGGGAGTGAGGGCAACTTCCACACCGGCTTGAGGTGCACAAGTGAAGTGAGGTTTTGTATGCGTATTCCGGAAACACAACATGCATCGACACAAGGAAAGCAAGAGATGCTTGTCACCCAATTTGAACTACAATATAAAGGTGAAAGGTTAGATCTGTTGAGGTTATTTCGGTTCATTTTCTCTGGGCTAATGAAACTGCATCGTTTGAAGGGTGGGGGAGAGGGGTGCTGGAAAGCCACTGAGCGAAGAGCTGCAAAGGTGAATGATACTTCCCGGTTGCCCAAGCCAAAGAAGGGGATTCGGTTGAGGAACCCTAACTTGAACCTTTGACTCGAAAGTCTGACCCACAAGGCAGCAGTTGTTGGGGTTTTCTTGGAAGACGCTTCCCGGAGTCTGACTCGCTTGGCTGCAAGGGGCAGCCTTGCCCGAGGAGGCAAGGAGAAAGGCGTTAATGTCTCACTCCTAGTGCAGTTTCCCTCAGTAGGTGTCTCTTGTGCAGTACCAGAGTCTTTGATTTGGAAAGTGTTTCGACCGTGTTGAATAACTCGCCGGTGGTCACGGTCAACTGTCTGTTGATCGGAGTGTGTGGTTTTCAGGGTTGATCTTCTCTAGCCCATCCTTCTTCGGGGGAAGACAGCAACGCTGCTTCTGTAAATATGGATAGACTTGTCGCCTGTGGAAAACGCCTTACTGCCTTTACACTCCTATCGCAGAGGACAGTACGACTTTGCCTTCAGACCGCCTCGTACTACGATTCATCGCAGCACGTGAACTCGTCCTTCTTCGTCGGGCTGCTCCCTTTTGGCCTTTCTGGGACGGTTGAAACTTTAGGAACCAAGTTCCAGCCAGTATAGCCCGCGGAATCACTGCAGCCCAGAAACCCGACAACCACAACAGTGTGACAGCTTTATTTCGGCCCCCAGATAGTCATGAACTCAGAAAAGTAATATCGTGATTATTCACGGGGAAGGACACCCAGAGGCCGGACACGACAGACTTCTCGCCCGGGGGCTTTCCTCTGAGGAGAAGTTGCTCTCAGTGACCCCTTATTTTCCCACATAGTAACTTCCAACAATCTACACTGGGAAGCGGGGCGGGGGGGCACTGTACAGCTGTTCCATCCATATTGGGAATCATCAGCAACGCGCACCTAATGAAACTCATAGAGTTTCGAACTCTCAACCTTCGGGCTAGTGGTTGAATACTTAACCGTCCGGCCACGAGCGGCAATGTGATTAGCTGCAATCGAAGGGAATACTGGTAGACCAGATGAAAGGAACATCATAATAAAATGGGGATTGTGGAAAACTATTCACTGTTGTGAACGAAGAGCCTAAGGAGGCCGGAAACCCCAAACGGGATGTGTACCCTCGAGAACCAAACCAAGGAGGGGACCTGAGAAATAAAACCCTTACATGATTTTTTTCGAATCGAATCTATTCCAGCACTGTCCACAGAAAAGGTTGAGATAAAAGATGGAGGATTATCTAACAAAGTTGTCTCTGTTTTGCCCTGCATGTGGTGCCCTAGATGAGCACACTTTGGCAAGCACTCACCTGCAGATTGAAATCAGTTCGTCCAGAGCTGGACAGGAACAGTCATACAGCTGTGCGCATGATCGCTGACTCTCATTCATCAGTTCACCGAGTTTCTGAGTGATCGCTTGTGCATTTTCAACGTCCCCTGCAGGTGTGAGCGGGTTACAGAGGTCGTAAAAGGCCAGAGTGCGTTCGGCTTCAGCGTACACGTGTTCTGCACGTTCTTGTAGACGAAATTCACTCACTAGCAGAAAACCAAGAACAATATGATGAATCAATATTTGATACAGCGAGTCCACTCATCTAGATGGACGAATTAGAAAGGGGGTTTATATCCTAGTAAAGATGAGACGAATCAGGTTTGGACAGCTATCTTCAAAGAAAAGCGCTCCAAGTTCATAACAAGCTTAGTTCGAAGATGACTTCGACAGAACTAATCACACGTAAAACATGTTGTCAAAAAAGATGTGGCTGACGGAAAAATTCATGTACTTAACCGGACGAGTTGCCCCGCCAACTCCCCATCAACCGACCAATCGCAATAAGTACGTGTAACAGAATGAACATCAATCACAAGGTTGCTGGAAACTCCGCGAAAACCCATGACGGGTTTCACTCTTCTTGGGTCCCATCAAGTGAATGTAGTCCTCAAACACCCATCAACTTTATGTCCTCATTGGACCCAAGTTGTAGGCTATTCGCACAATACATTCATTCGCACACTAACTTGGTTTTAACGAAACACCCAATTGGATTCCCGCTGAATCACTCGTTTACGACATTTGTCAACCAAATGTACTGCACCAAGTACGCTTCATGTTTCAGCTGGTGCGATGTTCTAGATACCGCATTATTATTTTCTCGAGCAGTGTTCTTTTAAGAGCTAAGTCACCATTATTGTCATCACCATCATCATCACCGATGGCACAACAGCGTTCGACACTGATGCTTCGCCGCCATACATCTCCCGTACATCTCCGGTTAAAACCAAATTAGTGTGCAACTTTGGTTTCCGAATATTATGTATGGAGAATTTATTAGACTAATGTTTTAACGATTTTTTCCCATCACAATAAACGGAGGTTCTGAGTGAAGGATAGAATTGATCCCGATATGGAATAAATAGCACGGAAACTGCTGCCGAATTGTTTCCCTGGGGAGAATCCTTCACGCCAGGGAAAGCAACCAGAGAGTACTTCATATGAAACTACTCACAGGGTTTCTGACAGATTCAGGCTGGATTCAGTTCAGTCTCCCGTAAACAAACAAACTGCCTAGCAAATAGGAGTATCTGGCGAAGTGAACAGAACTTTTCTGCGCTTAAAATAATCCTGATTGCTCTGTTGAACGGAGATTTCCTTAAGCGGATGGGGGACGAAGGCTGACATCCTTCCGTATTTTTGAAACAGTGATACACTGGTTCTTGTAGAGAGTATATTCAAACAAGTGCTGTTTTTGGAATCACGGTTTCAAACAGACCCAAGTGTTCGGAACTGAATTCGCGAACGCACAACTATATCCATTTCCCTCCAACTGCAAATCAGTAGACTAGACATTTTGAAGAAAGCTTGTAAGTTTGTCGTCCTTGCTCGAAAATCCGCTGCAATTTCAGTCAGTTTCCCACTAACATCGGTTTTCTGTTGAAAGACTAGTCATCACGCGTGCGGAATCCGCGTCCCAAAAAACCCGCCAACCTAAGGGAAGAAAAGTTGAAGCGTGAAGTCGCAAACTTTGAACTTTCAGAACTGGAACTTTAATTCGAAATGGTATGTTAGTTGCGCTCCCCTCCCCCCCCCCCAGGTTACCGTCTATCCGAAAACCAGCCATTTGGGCGAAGCTCACATCCCAAGCCACCTTGTGTTACACAGAGGACAGTATCCAAATAGAGTGTCTAACCTCTGAATATCCTGTCACTTCTGAAATCCCCAGATCTCTCCACTTAGCGAATGTGCGTATAAACAGTGCCCACAATACTCATCGGTGTGGACGGGCTGCTGGACTTGTAATTACTTGTTAATTACTAATTGCTAATTAATTACTAATTAATTGCACGTTAATTATTACATGCTGATGAGACTGCAATCACACCACACAACGAGAGTCAAGTCTATGAGCAGGGTATTGACGAAGGTGGATTACTTTCACCTGGTCCGCGACTCAATACCTGGGAATGCCCGATGTTATACTAGTTCCTATCACAGGGACCACACATGAAAGTGGTTAGTTCCCGAAACAGAAAACTGGGATACCAACGCACACCTAGACAACAGGTTCCTGGAGAATTTTTCATTGACAGTTTGTGGATATGAAAAGGGACGTGTAGCTCCGGTGATTAGAGAAAACCGGTTTCATTGCAAGTCACCTTCAGAACTGCTAAACAAGATCAAGTCCTCGTCCTGTCAGCAGTCGAATCATCAACAAAGTTGAAAAGTCATCTTCTGGGTTCGGTTAGGAAGCGAAGAGTTATCTTCAAAAACCCCAACACTGCATGCCAAAAGTTGAGGCCTAAGTACAAGTAATACGTAAATAACAAGCGATTTTTGTTCCAATGAGGCTTTCAATTGTGATGGCGATCGGTGATGCCTGCAATTGGAAAACCGATTCACGCGGTAAGTTTTCCTTCCCGCTTGCGTAACGCGTATCCAACTCGGCTAATACACTCGTTTGCCTACCAATTTGGTTTTCACGCGAGACCCAACTGAATCTCTCGTTTATGACTTTCAGCTGGCTTCTGGGTGAGCCGCTCGTCAAAACCAAACTGGTATGTAGATGAGTGTATTAGTAGCGTTTCATGCTATTCGGGTTCAAGCAGAACATAGGGTTGACAGAGACTCACGGACTGTGCCTAACTGATGAGCTCGAAGAAGCACAAAACCAGTCATGGGTTGTTCAGGAGATTTCACTAACTTTGTTAGTAGTACGTTGCGTCTACAAAATTCACACAACTCATGAACCCCAGCTTTCATTCTTTATGAGGAATTAGCCGCGTACAATTTTCAGTCTCATTATACCGATCGCGCCGCAGGCTATTGGCACACCCAAATCGAGTTCGCCGAAACTATAAGGTTTTCGAAGTTGCTATTTCAATGGTGAGTTAGTCTAATCAATTTGCACCTTCCCGTGACATGTTGCACGTAGCATTTTGTTTAAGTGAGCGAAATGTCAAGGTCATTGACCACCGCCGATTTGCATTTTTGCCGGTTTACGCGACATAAAACACGTGAAATAATCCCAGCTAGGGGACACGAAACTGTTGCTGTTGCTCTCATCACCAAGGACAGTGGACATTGCTGTTTAACTGCCATGCGGACAAGAAGAGAAAAAACGAAGGCGAAGGCACTCAGTATAAAATGTCCACCATTCCATGGGGAAACAGACAAGAGCAAGGTATCTACACGATGGAACGGCATTAAAACAAACACGTTAGAGCTCTATTGCAGATCGATTCAGCATCCATCTCACACAGCACAAGCCCAGCACTCGATGAAGGACGAAATTCCGCTACGCTAGGCAAATCGGCTAAGGAGGAGAGGATGATTGTAAATTGGATCGCTAACGTGGTATATCCCGTAAGTGTCCCAAGCACGTGTTAGGTGAAACCCAAAAACATGAAAAACCGGGGCGAATATGTAAATTCATTCACCAACCATGTGTTTCTTTTATTCCTGCGACAATGTGCAACCATCATTGCGTGTCTACTCTGCACAAAAGCACACCTGCGAACAGGTGAATGCGAGTTTCATTTGGGGTGCAGCTGCGACAAGGTCGCAAAGTGGAATATCATTGCTATTTTGTAGAAAGTAAAAAAAAAAGATCAGACTAGACGAACTTTAAACGTACCTATTCCCATCTATTCATCGGTCACCAACCCCAAATTAAAGTGCATCGCACAAACACTTGACTATCTTCGCAAAATACCGATTTCGTTGTGACATTTATCCAGACCAGCATCAGTTGAGGATGACAAGTGCCACCATCTCAACGAAAACACACGTGTAAACATTGTGTGCACATCTGCCAGATAAGGGTCACTCGTTTGCGAATAATGGCATTCGTGAAATCCTAACTCGTGTGCTATCAACCCGTAAATTGTTTATGATGATTCTTCCGTTTGGAACACTAACATTAGGCCAGATGGAACACGCAAGTGAGTGTAGAATCCTTGAAAGAATGTAACAATCGCTTTTGCTGTCACCAGTCCAAACTAGGGACATGGGAGCTGGCTGTTTTCTGCGATAAATCTGGGAAAATAATCAGATAGAGCGGAGGTCGACTGAGAGCAAGGAATGAATTGAACGCGCACAATGAAGATGAACAAAGAGGTATAGAATGTACCAAGGTGGTGTCAACTTCCTCCGAAAAGTGCCTGGTAATATGTTGGATGTTTAATTCGCACCAGCAACAATACGTCGGCCGGTAAAAGATTAATGAAGCTCTCAATCAATTGGGACCGATTGGGAAGTCATCGTTTCAGAGGGGTTTGGTAAACAATCGGTGGATTCACTGCTGGGCAACGTTTCGCTTTTGACACAAAAGCTTCGTAAGGCCAAGTGAGTAAGTAAGCAGGTTGATTGGGTTTTAAGGCAGTCAGGGAGCCAATCCGTGAGATATTTTATAAGCAGCACGATCATGTCGGCTAGTCACAAGAAATCTCACGGATTAGTTCCCTGACTGTCCTAAAACCCAATCAACCTACTTACTTACTCACTTGGCCCGACGAAGTTTTTGTGTCAAAAGAGAAACGTTGCCCAGCAATAAATCCACCGATTGTTTACCAAACCTCTCTGAAACAATGAAACTCCACTGGAGTCTGGTACTGAACAGAACAGCTTAGGTACTGATCCAGTCTACAGATACCTGGACAGAAAAGATTTAGGCAACACCTGAAGTTGATGATAAAAGAACGAACGAGATAGCAACACGGTGGATAAAAAAAACTACCAGATCAAACCATGGAAAAGGCAAAGTGGAATGCCAGAACGTACAAGAAAGCGTCACACTACCAATGGGAATCGAAAGAAGTAGGGAATATTCAATTGGTCATCGGAATGAGATTACAATACGGGCAGCTATGAAGAGAAAACACGGATCATTCAACCGCTCAAAAGCCTTTTACGCAAACCAAAAACGGACCAACAGAGTGGTATCGAACATGGCCTACCACAAGAGAGTTATATAACATCTTTGGAAGAATAAACAGATGCAAGCAATCAAGAGGTGCTGAATACGTCACCCTTATTCCCGGTGAAATATCTACACCACACTGTTAACCTCAGCGAATAGTCAGCACGATGGCAGTTGTCCCTTACTGAGACGTGTTCAAAGTTGAAAATTTGAAAGCCACTCACTGTTCTTAGTTCTAGGTGTCAGACATGAATCGATCTCCTCAGCAGACAGAGGCACACTAGATAACTCGCTTCGTTCGGTTATACCAGGCTTCAAGAATCGCTTCACGATGGATGTTGAACCAGCCACGCTACGCACCATATCACCCGGCCTTGCCATTCCCCACGCGAGTTGGGCGTCCACTAAGCAAAGCGGTTTGTTATCCACAGGAACTGTTGGTTTCGGTGAGTTTAACGTCAGAATCTATCAAGGGAAGCGGGAATTTTAACGTTTACGATAACCAAAGTATCGTACGATAATAAAACCAAAACACTATTAGACAGTGAGTTCAGTCCGCATTAAGAGATGAAAGAAAAGGTAATCAGACCATGCTAAGGAATCTGTTGCAAAGGAATGGCACAGGGAAGTGTCTTTTTGGAGGCACCCGATCACTTCCCATATATGCAACTGAGATACAACAATGCGCGCCTACATGGTGAACGGAACGGTGGGTAGAGATCACCGGAATACCCGTCGTCTTAATCATATCGAGCAATAACGTCCGTTCGCTAGGATTTCCGAATGCTTCCAACCTCCCTGTCTCAGAACAAATACCCGAGGGTCGGCATTGGCAGGAAAGTTGATCGTGAGCAGACGGTAAGTCTAGGAAAATCAGATGCATTCAGAAGTGATCACCAAGTGGAGTACCGCAACATCGCTTGGGAGCACGGTACTTGTATCAGACGAACTTGGTGCACTTCGCACTTCGTTACTACCCGATTTATTAACTATCTGGTCTTTCAGTGCAGGCCACAATCTCAATCCGTCGCTTCAACTAACACTGCATCGGCGGAAATTATACTCATCATCGCCATCACCTCCATGAAGTTGATTTCCTTTTTTGACTCTTCATCTGAGGCTAGACCAAATTGGAGAACTTGAGGTAAATCGCGGGTCCTCTTTGCTTCAGCGTATCTTTTATTGCAATGTGGGCAACTCGAATTCACTTTCACATGAGTTACCCAGTAGAGCCTAGTTCCAGAGGTGCAGACGATCTCTTCACCCCCAAACTCAAGTGACTCCAGGGGACGATGGGACCCCTTAAATTCCGACGATAATGTCACTAACTAAGTACGGTGGATCACTGTTTTAACACCAGTCAAATTATCAAACCATCTATACGTTGAACGCATCCAGGATAACGTGAGTTGTAATGAAATGTGGGGTGTTTTAAAATAACCCCGTTCCAGCAAGTCAAGTGAGCGTCAGCGTCAATCTGGAGATCTCTAGCTCTTGTCTTCCTACGTCCCCTCCAGAAAGCTGTCCTTTGTGTATTCGGTCATCCCACTTGATGATGGAAACTGAGCAGCTGCGCCCCTTAAACCCAATAAAATTTGCGATCCTGGCGTGCCGTCCAAATTCGTTTCGAAAAAAAATGTACTGACCTTTGTTTACAGCCTGTCCACAGGTCAGGTAGCTGGTGGTTCGCATAACCCCTCTTGCTAAAAAAAACGTGTCTTCGAATTTTGATTCGCGGTACGCGCCTCCTGTCCGCCTACGTCTTTTGAAAGAATAACGTTGAAAAGAGCGAAACGATGCTGGATTTGAATAACTTTTAATTTACCTACCAGCAATCACATTGAACGTTTACCGTTACGCATTGTGTTTAGTATCCCATCGTTTCATAGCTGAACAGTAACGTATAGTGCTTAAATTATGGGCCGAGTCACACCGAGGCATTTAACTAAACTAATCCAACACTAATCTTGGTCATTACATCATCCATATTCTGCACAATTACTCCAGTGGACGGACACAATATGGCCGAGTGCCTAAAAGTACTGTTTTAGTTCAGGAGTGATACACAACCCATAAGCTCGATGGAAACGGGTTTCGCCCTCATTGGAGCTCATCAGAGAGGCGCAGACCTCGAGGTTCTGCCAGTCGTATGTCCCACTTGAACCCAAATCGGACAGATTTCGATAAATACACCCATTTGCATATCAATTCGATTTTGACGGGAGACTCACCTGGAACTCAGCTAAATCTCTCGTTAATGATGTCTTTAAGCAACTGAATGTGCTGTACCAGGCCACCTCATGTCTGACGTGGCATGATATTAGAGATATCGCGATGAATCATAAGCTTGCTGAAAACTTTTAGACAGCTCACGACCAGTTTCGCTCCTCTTGGAGCTCATCAGGTAGACACAGTTCCCAAGATTCCCTCAGCCTTATGTTCCACTTGGAGAACATCATAAACGAGAGATTCAGCTGAGCTTCAGCTGAGTCTCCCGTTAAAACCAAATTGGTATGCAGATGAGCGTATTTTTATAGTTCTGTATATGACTATATGCAAGACGTTACTGGTACGGACTAACTCCCACCCACCAAATCCTTATGGGTAGTTTTAATTCACAAAAATTCTCCATTTGAACATGTTGAATCGGTTTTCATCAGAGTGAGACAGTATCTCTTCTATTTTTGAGGGTTGAACAGTTTTTTGCTCTCAGCTTGTTTTGACCTTGTGTTTGGGATCCCATATTTGCTTGCTTTATCGTTCCCAGGTTTTCTTGGACCCGAGGAAGAAAACTTTGCGATGATCGTTTGATTTCTTGAATTGTTCCCCATGTGAATCAATCCACTCACCGCCGTTTCTCGGGAATTTATAGTCTCTAAATATTTCTATCAGTTTTCCATAGATCTTCTCCAGGTACAATCAGTCACTTCCGAAACGAGAAACTGCACCCTTTTGGGTTCCGAGTTTTTTCTTACGGAATCGTCCCCTCGGAACAGGTTGCTTACATCTTAAGATTCTCCCAGAATGGAATGTTGTAGCGGCCATTCATCGTGATTCCATCGGAGAGACAAGAGAACTGAAAAACGTAAAATCCGTTTGGTCTACGGAGTGTCTCACTCTTTCGGTAGCACTGTCTTCGTTTCCATTGTCCGAAAAAATACGAGAACAGCAGCACACGGGAAATGGCACGACGATGCAATCGTGGCATCTCTTAAGTCATCTCACTGGATATCCCAAGAGCTGTATAGTAAGAAGTCTTACGGAAAACGTTAACGCACTGTGGCATGAAAAAGTGTATTTCATCTTACCCGGTACACGACGAGCGTGGTAGGTGCGTCCTTAAGGCAGACTGAACATTGCTTGTGTACATATCCCAGCAAGCGTCTACTGCGTAATCAGTCCAGAACAACTCAACCCAAAAAGCTGAAGAGGCGGTTACCGTGTTCCTTGACCGTAGATCTGCAGTTTGTTCCGAATTGGTGCAGACACACAATTGATTCTGACGCGATCCGAAGAGACAAGGGGTTTCGCTTAGATGGTAGCGTCACATTCCTGTGCGGCTCAAGTCGCACGATCAGAGGTCTCCCCGAAAGCACAGATCAGCATATCAGATAAATTACTACCACACAGCATGTCACAAAGCCCACTACGTAAAAACAAATAGTCGACTCAGTTTTCGAAGAAGAAAGCGTTCAGCTTTAGCACCCTTCCGGTGCCTAGCTGCCATACCACCCGAAGGAAGCACGAGGGCTAGCATACTGTCAGGTTGCCAAAGCCCAGACAGGGAAGTCGAGTGGCAGAGGTCGGATTCGAACCACGAACCTTCCGGTCAGTAAATTCTCACTCTAACCACTTGGGCCATCTCAACCTCCCGGTTTTCGAAACATTTCCGTTCATCTGAAAAGTATGGAAAAACGCCGCAGTTCGGTACCCTTGAGGCGGACCACCTCACCCATGGATCAGGAATCCGGGCAACGTATAATTCATCAACCAATTTTCTGCCTTACCCATAAATGTGCACTCTACAGGTGTCTTTTGATGAGTCTTATTCACTGAACCTTCCATAATTACCAATCCATTATAAATACAATCGTCCCATGGGAATCATAGAAAACTGACATGTTTGCAGGTGGACCGTTACCGAAACGAAGGAGAGCAGAATAACTACATTCCATTTTCCTTGCAAATCATAATAATTGACGAGTCCATTAGTGATCGTAAAAAAGTATTTGGATAAACACCTGCACTGGTTATCAACGTATCCTTCACATTAATGAACCAAGCATGGACGCATTCATTGTGTATACATTGTGTATATTAGCTTATAGGACACGGTGACCAGCTGGTACGGTAACATTCCCCTGGGATAGGCATCAAGGGCGAAAAGTGTCGCCCCAGGGAAGTGGACATTGTGAAAGATGGTGAAACCTGAAACCGGTTCTGAAAATTTATCGTGTAGTAGCGACAGAGTGACGTTAAACCCTGAATTGAATCCACGCTATCCATTTCGAAGTGGCTCAGGGGTTAAGGCCGGAAGATCATTGATTCGAACACCACTTCAGCATCTCGACTTCCCCTGTCTAGGCTTGGGCAACCTGGCAGCATCCCATCCTAGCCCCGAACAACCGCTCTCATCCTTTTAAATAAAAAGATAAGGTGTCTACCAGGTCTTTCGAGAGTAAAGCTAAGAGCGAGCTAAGGGGCGAGATGGGTCAAGTGGTTAGAGCGCGAATTTACTGACCGGAAGGTCCGTGGTTCGAACCCGACCTCTGCCTCTCGCCTTCCCCTGTCCAGGCTTGTGCAACCTGGTAGTATCTCAGCCCTCGTGGTTCCTTCGGGTAGCATGGTAGCTAGGCACCTGAAGGGTGTTACAGCTGAACGATAGCATGGCATGTAGGTACCGAAAGGGTGCTACAGCTGAACAATTATCCTGTATTTTTTCGTTAAAACGTACACAAGATTGTTTGAGAGATGCAAGCATTTCGGTGATAATTGTTGATCTACAAAGAACTGCTACTGTCAGAAAGATAGAAGCAAATCCATAACGGGGTTTCGATCGATCCGTCCCTGCTGCAAATGCCTTCGGGTACAGTGCATTAGTCGATGATTATCTCAGAAGCTATCACATCAGCATGGTTCATCTGATTCTTCAAAATTTCACAGCTTCATTTAGGTTATACAAAACCATACTCTGTCCACGTGCGTGATTTTGATCATACATACGAAATTAATTCACACAAACTGTCCCGTTGTCCAAAGGAGAAACCAAATCGTTCAGACCGCTCCTCCTCTGATAACGCTTCACGGGTCGTTTATTGATGGAGTAGTCTGGACCATGAAACTGTCTGGAAAACGCCACACACACACCATACGTTTCTGATGGGCACGCCCAGTTCATCTGACTTGTGTACCAAGCACCAGATCAATTTTCTCCTCCGCTTAATTTCACAGCAAAGACCCCCCCC